GGGCGCTAGGCCGGGGAGCCCATTTGCAGAGGAGACCACGGGAGGCCACTATACGACCGCGACGCGCGGAGCTGCGCACGCGCGGACGCGCACGCTTATGTGCGGCTGCGCGCTTACGTCACGGGGCGGGGCGCCCGGACCGCGCCCCCCGACCTGCTCTCCAGGGTTGGCCCCGGCGGAAGTCCAGCCCCGCGGAGTTCCTCAGACCTCGGGCGCCTGGGAAGCGTGGTTCACTGACCCTCGCCCCTGTCCTGGAGCAGGGCCTGTCCCCTCTTCCGGCCCCGGCCACCCTCTCGGACCCCTGCCGGCCCGGCCTATCTCGCCCTGTCCGCCCCGTGGAGGCGGCGGGGGCCCTGGGCCGTGGCCCCTGCACTCCCCGGTTGTGTTGCGGTGCACAGCCCTGGACCGAGCCCGCAGGCCCAGCTTCCGCAGTGTCCCTGTCCTCGGCCTTCTCCGCTCAGGACTCTCTCACCCGGCACAGGAGTGGGCCCAGCGGCATCTCCGCCCCCAGCTGCGGGAGCTGGTGGTACCCAGGGGATGCTGTGCGCCTGAGCCTTCCGGACATGGCCCTTCAAAGCTTCACGGCTGGTGAAACCCTCCTGTATCCCCTTCGCAGCTCTGCAACCCACATCCCAGTTCCCAGCTCCAGCCGGCCTCTAGGCTGCTGGTGAGGCCCAGGTGGCATCCAGGGCAGGGCACTGGCAGCAAGGGCGTTTATTTGAGTGACTGGGGTGAAGACTCGCTGTTTGGGGATTTCTCCAGTAGCTGGGGGCAGTGGTCCCCTGTTTTGGGTGACCCCAGAATATTTCCCCAAGGTGCCTGGGGCTTGTAAATCAGAAGGACTTCCTTTCTGATATGAAGACTGCCCTCGACCTCCTCACACAGACCCATGCCCCAACCTTCCTCTGCAGGGAGGGGCAGCCAGCAGCTCTGGACATTTGGCTCTGTAGCTGGGCCCTGGCCGGCTGCACAGTTTTCTTCCCCGGTGGTTGGGAGGCTCTCAGGTCTGTGGGGGCTTCAGGACGAAGCTGCCGGAAGACGCCATACCCCTTCTGCCAGGCTCTCCACATCTGCATCACCCTCAGGACCCCTCCAGCATTTCAACTTCCAGTGCAGCAGGGAGGAACCAGAACCCTGAGAGGGGAGGGGCCTGGCCATCCCTGGACACAGGCTTTTCCAGGCTGGGTGGAGATGGAGGTTGCCGACCTTGTGACTGATACCTGGTTTGGGCAGCAGTGTGGCCTGGGGGACCGTGGGAGGAGGTGCAGTTGCCTGTCCCAGGCAATTCTCATCCTTCACCTCTTCCATCTCCCCTGGGGTCCCCACTAAACGGGCTTCTGCTGGTCCATGGGAAAGGGACAGTCCCAGGGGCTCTCCCAGCCATTGTCCAGGTGGGTCTTCCACGAGCTCCCACGATTACCATGCCTCCTGCAGGAGGTGAGCTGGAGTGCATGTATGGACTGAGACACATGGCCCCACAGGAGAGGCACATGGCACCCACCAGGTTGCCCACAGAGCACTGCAGCCCCAAACCCCACTTCACAGCCGACACCTTCTCTCATCGTTGATTCTCAGTGCCTCTGGATCGAGACCCATAGTCACATCCCGGCCAGTTTTAAAGGACATCTTCTCCTCCCCGCTCCCACTCATCAAATCCTGAGCCTGGTCGTGGTTGAGTGCACCAAAGCCATGCCCCAATAGTCCGTGCTGGCCTGGCCAGCAGCTCTGCTCCTCGGGCCTCAGAGCTGCCCGCCCTCTGGCCTCTGCTCTGGTGCAGGTCACTGTCTGTCCTGGGAGGGGCCAAACTTGCCGGTGCCTATGCATCTGCCCCCATAGGGCCCCGAGGGCAGGAGGGCCACCAGGGCGTCTGCAGCTCTTGTTTCGGGCTGGAGGCTGGTTCTGGCCTTGCTGCTGTGTTTGTTTGTTTGTTTAATTAATCATCACCTGAGGATATTTTTACATTGTTTTTTTTTAGAGAAAGTGGAAGGGAGGGGGGAGACAGAGCAAGAGAAAGAAGCATAGATGTAAGAGAGACACATTAATTGGTTGCCTTCTGACCAGGGCCAGGGATCGAGCCTGCAACCGAGGTACATGCCCTTGATTACCATCGAACCCGGGACGCTTCAGTCAGCGGACTGACGTTCTATCCACTGAGCCAAACCGGCCAGGACACTGCTGTGGTTTTTGGGCTGATACACATCTATCTGATCATCCAGAGCTTATGGAAGAACCTACTACTGTGTGCCAGGCAGTGCAAGGCCTGGGTGCGCAGAGGTGGGTAAGCAGGAATTCTGCCCTCTCCAGGTGCAGCCCCTGGAGGCTGAGAAGGTGCAGTGCCAGAGCAGGGAGGTGCACAGGCCTGGGGCCCGCAGGGAGTCCTGGTGCCCTGGGCTGGGGGGTGGGAGGCTGAAGCCAGGTCCTGCCTCTGGGGGGAAGCAGATGGTGAGATGTCCCAGAGGCTCCCGGGAGAGGGCCTGGGTGTGCCTGCCCTGGGCCGGGCAGCACCTCCTTCCTGGGGCTGACCAACAGCGCTAGGCCCTGGGCCACCTGAGGAAGCTGCACCCAGCATCCGCCGCCCAGGTGGGACCCAGGCTGTGTCTCCCTCGGCTCCCTGGGCTGGTTCAGCCTGGGCAGCTGTGGTGGGTTTGGGAGAATAGAGGAGGAGACGGGCAACTGGGGTCTTGACACCCCTCTTCTGGACCTCAAGAAACAACAGCTCCACCCCAGGCAGAGCTGCCCGTGGAGGGCCGGGCTTCCGACCTGGAGGAACTCTGGTGGGCTTGGAGTGTGGTTCGGTCCTGCCACTGCGGAGCCTCCACTCCCTCCCGGGAAGGAGGGGGATAATGCTCCTTCCTAACAGGGTTCTCTGAGGAGGGGACGGAGAGGGACGGCTGGTGCCTCGAGTGGAGGCTCTCAGCAGCCGTGGTCCTG